CTCGTGTCCCCACCGGGTGATCTTGCACCTCTACGAGTATCCAATAAGTCGTTTGACTCGTGCTCTAGATATCCGGCTGCATCCGGTTAGTTCTATCCTCCACCGGTTGCATTCGGTCACAGACCCCTCCAATTCCCGCTTGGCATATAAAATCCGATCAGCATAGAGAAATTGCTTTTTCCTGCACAATCAACCCTCTAATTTGTCTATTTATTTCCAGGTTTGCAATTTTTCCTCTTGTTCTCTTCGGTAAATTATCTATAAATGGAAAAAAGTTTTAAAATTTTGCAGCAAGTATATAGCTTTAGTTTCCTGTGTTCTTACAATTTTTTTTCAGTTCGTTGCAAATTTTCGATCTTTGTTACAAATTAATGTTAGGTGTAAAGTAATGACAATCAAAAGCTTAATCTGAGTTTTTTAGCTGTTAAGAACTGATTAATTTGTAAATTAAGTTAATTAAATTGATCTTGAGTTTGATCGCACTTATTATCGTGTGGGTGTGATTGAGCTGAGGTTTTATTTGCTACTTCGATCGGTTCTAATTTAATTAATAGTTAATTTAATCAGGTTTTATCTTTATTTGACTCGTAGTTGGCAAAGAATGGTGCTTTATTTAGGATGAATTTAATCTCAGGACTCAGTGGTTCAAAATTAGGGTTTTGTGAACATAATCAAGGATTGTGGAGTGTGATGTAATTGTTGCAATGAATCTTATTTGGAACTTCGTGATCGTCTAAATCTTCAATTTGCTTGTTTGGATTTAGCTCTATTTTTCTATATTGCAAGTGTAACTTTTTCTTTGCTCAAGTCTTTGCTCTACTGACATTTCTGTCTGCATGTTTTTTTGTAGAATCTGTCATAATTTTTTTAGGGTTGCATGTTATTGAGCCTAAAAAGAATTAGGTTGTGCCAGAAGAAGATGGGGAAACGAGACAAAGTTTATTTTGTTGATTTGGAGTTATTATATTTAATTTGAAGAAGGATAGTTTGAAGTTAAGTTTTCCCTAAATTCAGCCGGCGTTAAGTCGCATTTTTGTACTAATAAGTTGTAAACTATTTAAGGATTGGCACTGGACAGCTATTTGGATCCCAGCCCCCAGGCAGCAGCATCTCCTATGATGCCCTCTCGTCTGGGTGGAGGAATGGCACATTCTTCTTTGAGATCCGGAATGTTTTCCCAAGGAGATGGGAGGTCCCAGGTTGCTGGCAATTCTCAGTTGAATTCAAATTTCGATAACTCATCGAATTCAATGTCTGGAAATGCGTGCCCAAACACTGGTCCAGTTTCTGGGGGTGTTGGCAACACAGTCTTAAATGGCGTGGCAAGCTCTGGACCGAGTGTTGGGGCAAGTTCTTTGGTCACTGATGCCAACTCAGGACTTTCAGGGGGTCCCCTTCTGCAGAGAAGTGCCAGCAATAATACGGAATCTTATATGCGTCTACCTGCATCGCCCATGTCATTCTCATCTAATAACATTAGCATTTCTGGCTCATCTGTCGTGGATGGATCCTCTATTGGGCAACCAGGTTCTAATCAAAACACAAACTCTCAACAAGCCCAGCAAAATCAGCAGCATCAGGGAGCTTCAAGTGCGACATCTTTGCCTACATCACGGATGGGGCAAGTTCAGCTTTCTGGTAGTCCAAGGGTTTTTAGTTCCTTAATTCAGGACCCCACCACTATGTCTCAGCTACAAAAGAAACCTCGCTTGGACATCAAGCAGGAAGATATTCTACAACAGCAGGTTCTGCAGCAACTGTTGCAGAGACAAGATTCAATGAACTTACAAAACTCAAACCCACAGTTGCAAGCTTTGATTCAGCAGCAGAGACTAAGGCAACAGCAACAGCAACAGCAACAGCAACAGTTCCTACAGTCCATGCCACCAATTCAGAGGGTTCAGTTGCTGCAGCAACAGCAACAGCAGCAGCAGCAGCAGCAGCTAAGACAGCAGCTTCAGCAACAGGGAATGCAACCCGCATCTTCTGTGAAGCGCCCCTATGATGGTGGTGTATGCTCACGTCGGCTAATGCAATACCTGTATCATCAGAGACAGAGGCCTCCTGTGAGTATGTTACTAGATTGGGTGATCTAGTGACAATGTTTTGTCAATGTCTCATGTTTTTCTCCTCATCTGTTTATCATCTGACAAACTTATTAAAAATATGTTTTGTTTTTTCTTTTATCCTTTCTTAATCCATTGTAAGGTTGGGTTTTTGTCACCACGTGATAGTTATTGATGTACCTGCACCTTGTAGGATAATGCTATTGCCTATTGGAAAAAATTTGTTGCTGAGTACTACTCTCCACGTGCAAAGAAGAGGTGGTGTCTATCCTTGTACGATAACGTCGGGCATCATTCGCTTGGGGTATTTCCCCAGGCAGCAATGGTAATTGTTTCATATATTTGACCATTTTATTCAATTTGTTTTACTTTGAAGTGATCCATTTGCTAGTGTAGATGGATATTGATTATCTTTTTTTTTCATGAATTGGATGGATTTGATTTTCATCAATTTTATGCAATATCTGATTTTCCACTCCAGTTTGTTTGAGGCTGGCATTTTTCAAATGCATAATTGCACGACCTGTTCTTGTTGTTTCCTTTTTTTGTCAGGATGCATGGCAGTGCGACATTTGTGGTTCTAAATCTGGGAGGGGATTTGGTGAGTCATATTTTTTATGAAATCCTGTATGTTTGATTTTTGTGTTCTATTGTGACATATGTCAATATTGATGTGCTACTATAATATACAACTGGGCTATTTCATTTACTATTGTTTCTGAAATTTACTCTTTTGTTAACCCATATAACATTCTTGATGGGGAAGGGAAATACAGGTTTCCTATTAAGTTGTGCATTACTTTTATTCCATGAGGAATATTCATTTGTTTGCATTGAATTGAGATTAGAATCTCAAATAGGGACCTTGAAGGGGTTTCTATAGGAAGTCGTGTATCAATTACTGTGAATGACATACTGAATTGGCAACAATGTATAGTATAGCGTATCAAATTCTAGGGGGACTCGTGAGGTAGTTTAAGGATTCCTTTTACTGTTTTGAATATTTGGAATAACTTCATTCAAATCGTGAATTTGTCTTGGAGCCATGTGTGGTCATTCCAATAAAGGACTATTACTCCCTAAAATACATGATATAGGATATTACGGACTGTGGAGGATAGATTGATTATTGAAAACAGCTGTTTGTAATCGATGGTAGTGTTGATATTGTTTATTTGAAGATGTGTGATGCAGCTATCACCAAGTTTAGGTGTATTCCCAGTGATATTAGAGAATCTCCTATCACTCTAGATTCACATCAAGGTTATTCATATGTCTTTATGTATTTTTTTTATTCCTGGGTGAGCTTACAATGTATAGCCAAGATTTGGTTTCTCGGAGTATGTTATTCTGTAATGACATGGTTTTAGTTGATGCGATTATGAAGAGCAGAAATTGTGAGCTAAAACTTTGGAGTACTTTGAAATGTAAAGATCTTTAAGTTAACTAGAACTAAATATAGAATAACGGGATACTTTTTTATTCATAATACGAATAGGGATGATAATAGAGTACTAAAGAGGATCACGTTGCACAAATTGGATGTTTTTAGGTAGTAGTTTGATTATTAACAAAGAAATGGGATTGAGGAGCACGTAATACATAAGATTAGAGCAAGTCCGATGAAATGAAGTTCTATAAGGATTCTGTAGGATAGGAGCATATCTGTAAGGTTAAGTAACAAGTTCTAAACAACGATCATTGAGTTCCAGTACAAGCTCAGGCAAGTTTTCCAGAGGCAAAGTAGAATTAGTTAACTTTGAAAATGTCTATTTCTTTCTTACTTTACATTACCTATTCTAAGATGTCTTGTTTTAAATAAGCAATATTTCTAAGTTTATTGCTTTATCTCTTGTCCTACCATATTATTACGTTTTTTTGTGTATATAATTCTTGCTTATAGAGAAGAGGGTGTAAAAGATTTTCAAAATTAGTGGTAGGAGTGTAAGTGGTTCAGTTTGACGGGTTTTGATAGATTTTCAAAACAAATCATTTAAAACGGTTTGAAATTTTAGCAAACCTAAACCTAATGGTTTAGTTCGGTTTTAAAATGCAGTTTTGTTACACTTTTTTTCTTTTAAAATGTTTTGTTTTCTTTTTTAGGCAACGTTCGTACAAAAGAAAAGCTAATATATTGTCACAAGTCACATCAGCTAATTGGAAACCTTCAACGTTGCCGTTGTCGTCACTCACTTGAGTGAAAATCAATGGTATTGTGGAGCTTTTTGGTTCTCAATATTTGCAAATGTGTAAAGGTTATCAACTTTGGTGTATGATGAAGTGTGAACGACGATTGAAATGACTAGTTATGGTGTTATGAAATTAGGGTAATTATTCAAAATGGACAATTGACCAAATTACCTATTTTTGTATTAAATATTTTAGTATTAATATTTTGTTTTGGAGGTTAAGATTGTAACTTATCAGTCTAACTCATGTCGACTCCAATTTAGATTAATTTGTGGCAAAAATTTAATTTTTTTTGATCTTTTGTACTGTCTGGTTTGGTTGCAAACTTCCATTAAAATTCCAAAACCTAAAACGAATTGTTTTGAAACGGTTTGGTTTAGTTAGTTCAAAATCGTTTTGTTGACGGTTCCACATGGTACCGGGCCAACAGTTACAAAGGGCAGTTTCAATTTGGTTTTCCAGTTTGGCAATTTTCTCTTACAACCCTAATTAGTGGTACTTGTTATGGAAATTTTCTCAGAATTTAAGTTGTCACCGTGATATCTGTTTCCTTTTATTACGGTTCATATTTAAATCAATCATGCAGGGTGTAGTCACATAGTGACATTCAGGGTTCTGAAATGACCTTGCTTTAGCCTTTAGAATTGGCTGAAGCTTTAATATTTAACACTCATGTTAGCTCATGTTCTAACTTTTTCTGTGGGTTTCAACAGAGGCAACTGTTGAAGTGCTCCCTAGACTCAACGAAATCAAATTTGGGAGTGGTGTCATCGATGAGCTGTTGTTTTTGGACTTGCCTCGTGAATGTAGATTTTCTTCAGGAATGATGATGCTCGAGTATGCAAAAGCAGTTCAAGAAAGTATATACGAGCAACTCCATGTGGTTCGCGAGGGTCAGCTTCGTATCATTTTCAGCCCCGATCTGAAGGTAATCTGTAAAACATTTATTGACTTGGAAGTGTTGGTACTTTTATGCATTCATCGTGTTAATCTTTGACCAATTGCATACCTCGTTCAGATATTATCTTGGGAATTTTGTGCAAGGCGGCATGAGGAACTTCTTTCTCGTAGATTGGTTGCACCACAGGTAAATGCATACTTGACTGACTGTTTGCTGGTCGATCTCTTATAATTCGATTGTTTCTTATCTATGTATGAAAGAACGTCCATTTACATCATGTTGCGCTAGTTAACCTGCATTCTTATTTAGTTTGGTTATTTGCACCATGGATGTTGAACCTATCTGTCAATATCTGACTTTTTGACACAAATTTCACATGAATATTAAATAATGTATTTTCCAATTGCATCATTATTAAGTTTACTCATATTTAGACTAGTCAAGGACTTAAATTTATTTTTTTAAAAATAAAATAAAATAGTTTACTCATGTTTCCCTCATGCATAGTCAAGAAGGAATTTTGATACTCGGTGCTGCAGTAGTTGAATAAATTCCCTGCTCGTGCTAGCCTAGCTAATTCCATATACCATGTAGTTGGCATTGTAGTGATTGGGGATGTCTCAATTTCAATGTTGAAGTTCTGAAACTGTTCACTCATTGTTCATTAAGAATGGAACGACCAGGTTAGTGATATAGTGGAAAAACTGACCCATGGCAGCAACTACAAGCTTAAAGCAACACTTTAATGGCCCAAGATGTCACTTGTTTAGCATAAAGTTTATCAATACAAGTACTGGGTGTTACATTTTGTATATAGAACTTCTAAACACACTTTCTCCTGCAGGTAAATCAATTGCTGCAAGTTGCACAGAAATGCCAAAGCACAATTTCTGAAAGTGGACCTGAAGGCGTTTCTCAGCCCTATTTACAGGCAAACAGTGTTATGTGGGTGAAAAGTTTTTCTACTCTACTAGTCCGCAATTTCTTTCTTAGTTTAGACCATTTCATTTGTTTCCTTTTCTCCCCCTCAGTTCAGGGGCTGCAGACAAAAAACAAATCCTGATTGCTGATTAATTTAAGTGTTCCATAATTCTTTATTGGAAATGAGGAGAAATTGGTGGTCCAGAAATTTTGTTGTCCATGGCGTTTAAGAACTCGGAAGATTTCTTTTGCTAGACCTTTGAAGTGGACTTCAAAGTGCAGCGTGATTGTCCACACTCTTGTTATAAATTGTGTTGTTAATTTTAGACAATTAAAATTTAAGGTGACAGCTTTTCTATTGACCCCTCGCCTTTTTTATCATGTGACTATCTGTTGCTTTAAAGGGGCTGTAACCACCGGAAATTTCAGTTCACCCCCATTACGTTTTTACTGTCCATTGAAAAGCAAAGAATCAAGAAGATGATATATCACCTCAAAATTTCAATGACAAAATCCAATTTATGAAGGTATAATAATTTGTTACTTAGCCTTGTAGTGCAGTCCTCTAGTGCTTTCACATGTCCAGAGGTGTAGGGAGGACTTAAAGTACCTTTTTAATACCCGAAGAAAATCGTATTTATCTTTTTGGTGTTACATTTTGATCCCTAGCTAACATGTGCACGCGGCTTGCTGAATTGGATATTAACGTTTGAAATGGACAATTGTTCGTACTTGATATCTTTTTGTTTGTTGATAACTTCTTAAACTTTTCTTGTTTGAACCATTTAAAGGTCCTATTTTTTCAGGGTTGTAACAGCTGGACGTCAGCTTGCTAAGAGTTTGGAGCTACAATCACTTAATGATTTGGGATTTTCCAAAAGATATGTTCGGTGCCTTCAGGCACGTTTCTATCTTTTATAAACCTTTTAAAATGCATTGTCCAGTTGTTCATACTTTTCTACAAGGTGTCTCATGGTTGTTTGCTGTGTACAGATTGCCGAGGTTGTCAATAGCATGAAAAACCTGATGGATTTCTGCAGAGAACAAAAAGTTGGTCCAATTGGTAATTACCGTGTTCCCACTGTTTTCACTCCCAAACAACCCACCTAGATGTATCTACTCATTTGCAATATTTCATGTATAATAATGGAATATTTGTGGGATTTATTTAGTGCATAGATCTACACAAGGACGTGTTTTTTTGTAGCACGAGTGTTACTAAGATCTAGTCTTCTTGAACCCAATTTCCATGTTTTAAGAGCACATTATCTGGACGGTCGTTTTATAACATTCAGCACGATCTAACAGCAATTTTCATTTGCAGAGGGCTTGAAAAATTTCCCACGACACACCACTGTGCCGAAGATCGAGATGCAAGAGATGGAGCAGATGGGAGGTGTTCAGAGTATGCCAACTGATTGCAACACGCTAAATAAGCTCGTGGCATTGAATCCCGGGACCAATAATCAAATGAATAATAACCAACATATGGTTGGTCGAGGAGCTTTGAGTGGCTCAGCACAGGCTGCTTTTGCATTGACAAACTATCAAAATTTGCTGATGAGACAAAACTCAATGAATTCAACCCACAATTCAATTAAGCAGGAGGCATCTTCTTCGTTCAGTAATTCTAGTCAAGCTCCAACTTCATCAGTTTCAGGGTTGCAGAATGTACCAGGTAGTGGCTTCTCGAATTCCCAACTGGCACAGCAGCAGCAGCAGCAGCAAGCGCTGCAGCGTTCATTAAGTGGTAATGGTTTACTAATGCAAAATCAACCCCAGCCCTCTCGCGGGAGCCAAGTATCACAACAGCAAACAATCCAGCAATTGATGCAGGATATGAACAACAATGGTGGGGGCGGGTTTCAACAGCAGTCCCTTTTGATGCAGAGTGCGGGTCGGGATGGACTCGGTTTTAGAAACAGCCCTTCAACAGCTACTACTCCGTCTGCAAATGGACAAGGCAATGTTGTTGGACACCCACCAAGCAGAAGCAATAGTTTCAAGTCTGCTTCGAATAATTTCTCATTTAGCCAAAAAACATCAGATTTGCCTCAGAATCTTCATTTATCAGAGGAAATGGTACGAGACATTGCTCATGAGTCCACGGAAAATGGGTTTTTTAACAGTGAACTCGATGACAGCATGAACTATGTGTGGAAATAACGTAGTTTGCTCTGTTGCTAGCTTCCGTGTTTGGAATTTGCTCTGTTGCTAGCTTCCGTGTTTGGAACCTGACACGTACTTTTGTACAGATGCTTGGTTATTTAATCATTTTGTTTTCCGTTTCCGTTTCAACTATGTTTTAGCTGCTCGTGTTTGTACTTCAGTTGGTGTCTCTTTTACCTTCTTTTTTTCTGGGTTTTTACCCAGTCAAAGCTTTTTGCAAGTGTAATACATTGACATGAATTTAAAGACTTACAAATTGGTTTTAATATGATAATTGAATCTTTCTTGAACTCGATAAATTTGATGGCTCGGCCTTGATCTTGTTCCTGGTAATCGATTCTCATGGAATGGCATCTTAGAATGTACAGACTCTTGGCAAGAATTCTTTGCATACAAAGCATTTACCTGTGTATAAATTTGCAAACTACGGCAAGACACATTATAAGACTCATAATTTGAAGACAGTAATTAGAAACAAATTAGCAGCAAAACATTCCGATATCCTGGTTCGTGTCCCAAATTATGATTTATACGAATACACAATATGTAAGATGTTTTCGTAGAGTAAAAATGAAAAAAATTCAAGTCTTAAGTCTTAACATCAACAAGGAAAAATAAAGAAATAAGTGGTTTCCATGTTCTATTTCTTGAATTTTCATTTTTGGTTAGAATAATTCGAATTTTGCAATCACTCAGGCTGTGCTTTCCAATTTCTGTGTCCTGTGAAAATATAGAGACTTCTACCGGAACGCTTCCACTGCATCCTTGAAGTCTTTTAACAGTTCCTCAACACTCTTCACGATAGAATCATTATTGTCTCTCACTCGTACAGCAACCTACAAGAGTCGAGAGGATAAAAACTTCACAAAGAAAATTCATTACAGCACCTATTAATATGATCAACACAGAATTTGACATGATCCAAGAGCAATGCTCCGACATAAGTTGTTCCAAATAAAGAGCAAAAATCCCACCCTGCACACGCATCCCAAAAAGATCTACAGAATCACTTACATTTTGTACAAAACTCTGTCAGAACCATTTTTTAATTAATTCTTCACAAATTTGCATCTACATTTCATTGACATCTTGGCGATGTCATTATAAAACATTTATCAACACAGTCGAGACAAGGATGGTAGCAACTAAATATGTATCACAGAATTGCAGGTTATGCAAAAACTTGAAAAAAACCAAACCCGCATATCTAAAGAGGAATTAAGCATAGTCAAACTTGACATTGACGCAAAGCCAGTCATACTAGGGAGCCAGAAATAACTGTAGAGCCCAGCTAATTACCACCAGTTCATGCTTATTCCCCATCAATTTAATCATCAAACAATCATGAGCATCAGGTATGAAGTCAAATACTGGAGTTACGGAGTATTTAATGAAGGAGAAGAAAACTAAACTAGGATAGTTACCTTCTTTATCTGTCAAATATTTAATCCTTTACAGCCAACCATATCAGTATGGTAAAGCGTGTTTTGAAATGTAAATGCATGTATGCATGATGTTTTCAACATTCAACTGTCAATGAATGTCTAACCTGTCCAGTTGCAACTTCTTTCTCTCCAACAACCAATATATAATTGTACTGTGCCAATTGAGCTTCCCGTACCTACAACGATTTGCAATCATCCAGTCAGTACAGTAAAATCTTTGACATAAAAACATTACCTTACTAATTCAAACAATAGAGTCTATAGACTATCAAAAACAGCTTGATTTATTAGGTTTACAGGTGTAATTTTGGGTTTCCTAGAAAGCTATTGCATTTTAGCCACCTTTAGCTTGAGAATGCTTAAATATAGGTCTTTAATGGAAATAAATCTGTCCTAGCCTGTGTCATAAGAGAATCAAGGAGCATTCCATTAGCTATCTGTTTTAACAAGTAATACATGTAACCAAGAAAGAAAAACTGCAACCCATACAAATCTAAATCTAAAGTGGCAAAAAGATAGCAATCATGGCAAAACTATTGTATTATATAAATCTTCTAACCAAATCGTCAACCTTCTTGCATTATGTAATCAAATAGACTGGCAAAAGGATCGGTTTTTCAAAATCTAGATCAAAAAGAAGTACTGGATATTCGGGAATCATACAAGGCCATTGGCAAATGGATGATTACACTAGGTGCGTGAGAAACTTCACAATAGGAAACAGAAACAAGCACTTGTAGGACAGGAGGCAAATCTAACTTCATCTGATAAATACAAGCAAAATCCTTGCTTGAACATATCATCATATCAGTTATGCAATTACCTCATTGTGTTAATAAAGATCTGAGGGAATAGTTTTTTACCTTTTTATTGATTGTTCTGTCCGTGGTATCAACATCAACATAGAAACCAGCTTCATGTATGTGGTCTCGTACCTACATCCGACATAAAAAGTATAATGATATCAAAACTGTCAGGAAGCCTTCATGATAACAAACTACTAAAATATCAAAACAAAAATATATAGTTCACGGGATTTTTTGCATCATTCTTTTTGCTTAGTAAGAAAACCACAGCATTAATATATAGTTCACGGTACTTTTTTCCTTTTTTTTTGATTTGCGTCATGGGTGATTACCCAAAAATAAGCAATTCCAAGTGGGTTTAGTTTCAATCAGAGAGATTGCAAATGACCTTAATAGCTCCACAATCATCATGAGATTCCTCTTTCAAACCAAATGTTGGATCAAAATGGTCATAATTCATATTTGTACAGTTGTACTTAAGAATAAGGACTAGCATTATCTATCAGACAAGTGCTTCACTCTTGTAGCCAGAAGCCCAGTCCGGAAAAGATGAGGACAAACAAGTAGTCCGGAAAAAAAGATAAGGATAGAAAGGTACATATAGTAATCTAATATATCAAGGTGCACAAGGTATATAATCAAAGGTACATATCAATCAATTAATGAATCACAAGTAAATTGGTGAAGGACCAAAGTACTTGCAACTAGCTAAACAACCTGCAACGCATATGTTAGGGATTTGTCAGAGACAGGACAAACAATTGCTTGACGAGGGCTAAGCCAAAATGGCCATTTCCCCTTGTAATGCTCCAGGAGTATTGCAAACATTCGTTCAACAGAACCAAGAATGGCTCGGTGTATCATAACAGGTCTCTCCCTCTTTGTTTCATCTTCTGCTGAGTAAGACAAGTTAAAACGAGCCGGGAGTTGGAAGTCCAGCTGTAACAACAAAATAATTATCATCGAGTAATCAAATTATTTTTCCAAAAAAGTAAAACATGCAAACTTTTTTGAACCATAAGGATAGGCTCCATGCTCAAAATCACAGTAAAAAGGACAGGTTCCACACTCAAAAAGCATTATCAGGGTGCAAGCTCAGGTGGGTTATCCAGAATGTCCAGGTATGGAGTATTGGAGTTTCAAGTATTATGGGGCTTGGATGATATAATCACTCGTGGACCTTAGGGGACAAACTATTAAGTTTCCAGGGCTTAATACCTGGCATAAGGCATTCACTTGACAGATTGTCATTTTGTAAAGGCATTTTTTGACTTTAGAAGGCTCGATCCACAATCTTTTCAAACAAATCACTCCCTCCTCACGCCCTTACAACCTTAACTCAATAGCCACATTATAAGAGGGAAGAAGAGAACCCTCTCCAATATTTCTCTGAAAGAAGGATATCACAAGAAGTAACCATACTTCCCGCCATTGTCTTAATGGTTTCACCATCTACCACTTTTGAGCATAGATGAAACTGAACGGTTTATGGCACTTCTATACATTTATAGCTTTTCTAAAACCATAGGTCTAAGTGCCTTATAAGGTTTTAACAGAAACTCCTCACTCTATTCAGCTCATCTATAGTTGGAAATCCAAATTCTTAAGAATTTTGAAGTTAGGGTCGAAAATTTCGAGTGGGTTGAATAATCTTAACTTCTATCCCACTGTTACTTTCTCAGACTCCTTTAAATATTTTATGACTGCAAGCTCGTCTAGACACTCCCACTTTGTGATAGTCCAGTCCCATTTTCCAGACAAGTTATGAATATTAAGGCTATATATATATTTTTAACGACATTAGCAATTTTTTTTTTTTAATATTTAAATATCAAAATTTGTTGAGATTATGCTCTATGCAGCAGGCACACATGAGCTGCCGCTAGTGAATGAAAATTTTTCATCTCATGCCCTCGCCTTTTAAAATCACTGGACATGACCAAAGAAATGAAAACGAATGTGGAAAGCAGTAACAAACTAACCTGCAATGTTGCACACTGAAATTTCCTTCTCATTGCATCAGAAACACTGATATCAATCTTTGGCCCATAAAATGCCCCATCACCTTCATTTATCTAATGACATGGATCTAGAAGTCAGTTCAAGAAAAGGACAAACGAAATAGATAGAAGGTAGGTAAATCAAAACATAAGAAAGGGCTTTCCATCACAAGTGTTTTTACCCTAGTTAAGACCAATAACTTTATAATGAGACTGACTTCCACCATATCAACTCATATGGGATCGATAACTAACCTCCCAGGATTTTCCAAAATCATTTAATGCTTCTGCAAGAGCGGCTTCAGCCTTTTCCCATGTTTCTAGGTCTCCAAGATATTTTTCTGGTCTCTGCAACACAAAAATCATGTGACTAACTTGAATTCCATTGATAACCAGAAGTTCATTTAGATTTCTGTGAAAGAGCACTCATAATGCTCAAAAGTCAAACAATAATTACAATTTCCACTGAGAAGAACTAATCTCCATACCGTTGATAATTTGAGGTCAAAAGTGAAGCCAAATATTTTGTACGTATAGCTGATAAATGATAGAGCAGCCTTGACTTCATCTTTTATCTGTGAAATGAAAGAATATTCAAAATAACTTTTTTCTGGATATAAAAATGCTAGCTGCATATCACAAAATCTTATCTACCTGGGATTCCCTGCAGAAGATATGAGCATCATCCTGTAAAAAAAGAAAAAAAGAAAAAACTTGTGTCAGAAGCAACATAGCCTCATCAACCCACCACAGAACAAAAACTTGCACAACATAAACAATGTATAAACCTTTAGACCAAAATAATTGACTGTGACAGCCTAGTTGAATCATTTAAGATGAAATTTTACTATGATGGTGTGTTTGATGGATATTATTGAGAAAAAAAATGCATTTTAAATAGTGATATGATATTATGGGAAATATGTGGTTAAAAAGTAAGTAAAAGTTATTGATGTAATGGAAAATATTATTTTATTAAAAAATGTGTGGTTGAAAATGAGTTTTGAAAGAATGCATTTTTAAAAAATGTGTATCAAACAGAGGCTAAAAAGTAGGAACATGAGGACACCAACAGCTTTGAGACAGGAACAGTTCAGGATTGTCAATATCTATTCAAACATACAGAAGCCAAAAGGTTATGAGCATTTCCAATCTATTCTATCCCCTATCATATGTTTTATGTGTACCTGCTGAAATCTCCTGACACGAGTCAATCCAGTAAGTGCACCACTGGCCTCATTCCGATGCAAAACCCCAAAATCAGCTAGGCGAAGTGGAAGTTCTGCAATGTGGAATTGCATGTAATTTTTGGTGATTCATCTTATAGAGTAAATTTAAGACCAAAAAATGACCACAATTCCTAAAGAGATCCTTAAATGATAATTTAATGATGTACAACACCCATGTGAAAATAAAATGAATGCAACAAAAAGGCTACATCATGCCTAATCTAGATTTCAGTCAAGTATACTGCAAAGCTCATGGAACATTCATGTTGTTAAAGAGATATCAAAGACAAAACTAGGATCACCTCGATATGAACGAACTCTATGATCAAATATTAAACAGTGGCCAGGACAATTCATTGGCTTAAGTCCAAACTCTTGTTTCTCTACCTGAAAGAGAACCCACACATACCATTTCATCATACTGAAAGAACAACACAATCAGCAAGAGATAACTACTTTTTAATTGAAACTACCCATGCCATCTTTAACATAAATTCCTTAACTTTTTTACTCATTTCAAGATTATCTAGATATCTAACAAAGTAAATCAGAATAAGATATCAGAATTTTGACATCAGGTAGTATTCTAACCTCAAAGACAAACATATTTTCCTTGTAGTTTGCAGCATGACCAGATGTTTCCCACAGTTGCATATTGTACATATTTGGAGACCAGACCTACCAAAATCAAGTAATAATACTCAGAATTCTACACTTTATTGCATATTTGTCATGTCCCAACGAATGATTAATTTACCTCTTCATAACCTCTCTTCCAGTACTGACTTCGCATAAATTCCAACAACTTGTTGCAAACCCGAGCACCATGAGGAAGGAAGAAGCAACTTCCTGGGCTAAATTGCATTCAAAATACATCTCATGAAAATCGTGAACATACCTGACCACATAAATCAATGCCAAGTAGCTTATATTCTTACCTAAGTGGGTGAAAAAAGAAAAGCTCCTGCTTCTTAGTCAGTTCTCTGTGGTCATATTTCTTTGCTTCTTCCAGCATGGCCTTGTATTCCTGCAAGAATTGCACTTAAAACGTGATCGAGATAACTGATGGAGCTCAACGATGAATAAACAACTTAAGACTTGTTTGGATTTGATTATAACCACATTATAATTTAACGGTCTAATTCATACTTTAATTTTTTTTTTTAAAGGTAATCAAATATTTTATTAATCAATGCATGATACACAGTAAGTGTATTATCAATTTAAATAAGAAAGTAACAACATGAAATTAGGCAGCTCGTCTATATGCCTGGTAGCCACAGCATTAAACCAAGTATACAATTTCAAATAAAATAATTCCCTAAACTACTCCGTTGTCCATGTTTTGTTTCCAAAACAGTATCCGTTTCTCTCTCCACATACACCATACAATGCAGTCCGGAATAAGGTCTCATACAAGTTTGTTATCCTTATTTCGAAACTTTCTCCTCCATGCCTTTAACATGTCATCTATACGCTTCGACTGTAACAACCCGACCTCTCCCCAGAGTCGTTATCTTAAGTATTGTCCGCTCTGGGGTGGGCTTCTGCACACTTATCCCCTCACGGCTTTCTGACGCGTCCCCCAAGATTCGAACTCAAGTTGAATTCTGGTACCAATTGGGCACGCGTCCCTCAGGATTCGAACTCAAGACCTCCATCATATGGGAGATTTAAGTTGAATCCTGGTACCAATTGGGCAAGTTCTCCCATATAATGGAGGTCTTGAGTTCGAATCTTGAGAGACGCGTCAGAAAGTCGTGAG